AGTTTGGTGTTTTTTTGGGGGGGGGGGTTGACATMTAATATCGATATAATACTAAATATTTTTATATATAATATACAGTATTTAAAATCATTATTACCAATAATTGATGAAAGTTTTAATTACAAAAAATATCAATATATATWTATAGCATTGTTTATTTTTTTTATTATAAATTAATATATACTGTATATATTATTACAGTATTATAAAATATTAATAWATTGAAATATATATATATATATATTACAAAAATTTAAATATTAATTATATAAATATTAATATATTGTATATATATATATATATATACTGAAATATATAATATAGAAGATATATATATATATATATTGTAATTAAAACTCCCATTAATTTTTGGGAATAATGACTTTAAATACTGTGTATTATATATAAACAATTTAGTATTATATAGATATTAGATGTCAATCCCCCAAAAAACACCAAAAAACTTCCCGTACGGCTCTTAATAAAGCACTGGTATGTCTGATATGATGACTATCAGTGCAACAACAGTGCAACAACAGTGCTGATAAAGTGATAGTAAGTGGTGTACCGAAACACACACACACACACACAACTGTCCACAAAYCAGATAATTGTTGTTACAAACAAAAAAGTGTTGTYAAACTTATAAATAATTTTTAATATAATGTTTTAATAWTTTTTTTTAATTAAATTGACTATAATTTAAAATAATTTTTACTGTGTTTGTGTGTGTAATTAATTAATTAGTGTCCACTAGATATATAGTATATATATATATATATAATTTTYTTTTTTTGCTTCAAACTAAACTAAACTAAATTTAGCTAAATATATACCTAATGTATATAAAAGTCTAATTAAACATTTACTATACCTATAGTTTATTTATTGCATTTAAAATTAATTAGTATTGATTTTTTGTTGTTGTTATTATTGTCAATGTTGTCGATTTAATGGTTCAATAAAATAAAACAAAAAAAATACTATATTTTCTGAATCCTTATTTGAAATTGTTTTACTAAAATTAAATTACTGTACATTTGTTAGACACAAATAAGTTTTTAAAATCTAATTTTTTTCAAAAAAAAAAACCTAATCTATTATAAATTATTAACTATACTTTTTTATAATAAAAAATGATTGATTTTTTTGATTTAAATAAAATAAACCAAATTTATTTTAATAGAAATTAATAATTATATATATCTTTATTTGACATAACATCTAYCCTTATGTGTGTTAATGACATAATATTTTTTGATACTTTAAATAAATAGTTTTTGACGAGTAAAATGACATATCGTTTTAATTAAAATGATAAATATATATATATTTATATATGATTTAATACTACAGTACAGTAATACTGTTATATATAAATTAATACCCAATGACTATATACAGTATATATATATATATATATATATATATATAATACCTAACCTAAAGCTATTTTATAGGACATATTAGTAAATTTAGAWATTTGTAAAATTATAATTAGCATTTTTAAAAATTATTAGCATAAACAGCTAATAAATAAAATATTATTAAAATTTATATATATATATTAATATATAAAAACTATATATAATTGTAGGTAAAATCCAAACACAAAACAACAATACTATAACATTATATTTTAGTCAATTGTGGATAGTGTTGGCAAAAAAGAGAAATTTGCAAAATAATAGAGAAATTTCTAGAAAGTTTCTAAAAGAAATTTCTATCTATGGGATCCCCATGTTAATTTTGTTTTCTGGATATATCTTATTATGTAACAATACATTGGTTTTACAAGTAATAATTAATTATTAGTATTAATATTTTTATTATTAATTAAAGTAAAAATTAATTTATTTAATTATCTTAAATTCTTATATATATAATAAAATGATTATTAAAATTTTACTGATTATATATAATTATAATTATTTTACATATAGGTATCGCATTTTGTATAGTAGTGTATAGTGTAATGTTATATGAATAGTAGTATTGTCTCATTATTTATATATTATTTCAATAGCTATAGATATGGGGATCCCATAGTATAACAATAAAGTTAAATTTCTATAGAAATTTATTCCTGAGAAATTTTCTAGAAACTTTCTCAGTGAAATTTATTAGAAACTTTCTATTTGCCCATCTCTAATTGTGGATCAAAATTGCACCAAAAAAAATAAAAATTGTAAATCAATTAGACATTAATTTAAAAGGAAAGAAATTTTTAAAATTTATTTTATTTAATTTAAATTTTTTTGTGGTGAATATGTGATTGTTTTAATACGCAACTCTATTTTCATTGTTTTTTTTAAAATTTTGTTTTTTTAAACACATACTCTACACATATAATAATAATAATAATAATAATAATAATAATATTTTATATAATAATGATTTTCAATAATAATAATAATAATACAGTACAAACATACACACATATAGACAATGATTTTATGAAATTTAATTTACAATATGAATACAATATACCGGTATATATATATATATAATAATATTTTGTTATGAATTTTTTCCCCAAAAAAAGAAATTTATTATAATGAATAAATTTAAAATTAATATATATATTTATAATTAAATATTTATATATTTGAATGAAATAAATGTCAACATTAAATAAATATTTGATTTATTAAATATTTAATAAGTAATTAGTGTGTAAACAATTTGAAACAATTGTTTTATAATATATATATACAGTATATATATATATATACTTTAAATACTGTATTGTATTATATAGCTAATTATATATATATTTATATTCATATATATATATATTATGTAACCTAATTTAAAATATGCAAATTTTAAATTTTAAAAACTAATCCATATAATAATTATTTCCATTCAATTTAATTACTATATTACTAGCCTAATTTTAACAATAACAATAACATTTATTACAACTATTTATTATTATTATTTATTTTATTTATTTATTTTGGTAAAAAACTAAATTTTAATAAAATATTATCACAAATTAATAATATAATAAAAAATTGTAACAAATAAAAATTTATTAATAGGTATATAATATTTATATAACTTGTATTTAATATATATATATATATATATATATATTTAACAACATTTTTTTGTTAACATTTATAATTTATAATTTATATATATATATCTTATATTTATAATTATATATATAATTTCATATGTTATACATATGTTTTTAATAGTAAATTGTTATATTTTATTAACTATTTTAATTATTATACTTTTTTATAATAATAATATTAATTATAACTATTAACCATTACTTCATTAATTGAATTTAATTGAAATCATAGTACTCTCTAATAATAATAATTTTTTGAAATTCAAATGTCATTTAATTATAAATTAATTTATATTTAGACAACAATTATGATAACAATTAAAGTTATCAGTTATAACTTTTGGGCAATATATCTATGATATATATTAATATATAAATATACCTAAAAATGTTAATTAAACATTTGGTATACAATAAATATTAGTTAATTTTAATAATTGTTTTTTTTTGTTGAATAAAAGTTTTATAATTAATAGTTTATTATATTTCATAATATATAAAACTGTTAAATAGTTTTTATTTATTTTTATTTTATTTTTGATGACAAAATTCAATATTATAAATAGTGATGTACCGATTGCAAAATGCGCAATTGCATTGGTCGGAAATTGCGTGAAATTGCCGCAATTGCATAAGGCTCGATTGCGAAAATCGCAATTGTAACATAGAACAATTTATAATTTTTTAAAAATTAACAAAATTTAAATGGTAAAGCAATGTGAATAAAAACATAAATTAATTATATTAATTTTAATTATTTAATCATAAAATATTGCCATCTAAAAACCATGTAGAAATAATAATAAATTAGTAAATTATCTTAATCTATAGTAAACTAAATTTTTAACATTGTCAAAGTTAATTTTTATACATTCCCTCATGCGCGCAATTTCAAGCAATTTCACGCAATTTTCCGCAATTGCGGCAATCGAAAATTGAATTGCGAAAAATTACCAACACTAATTATAAATAATTAAATTGTTATAATAATGTTAAAAATAATATATCACATGTCTAACCTTTTTTTAAAACAAAAATTAAACAAACTATACAACAAAACAATCAATTGTCAAATTTATCAAAATTGTTGTCCAAAACAAAAAAAATAAAATAAAAAATTAAACTTAAGATAAAATTTATAGATTTTATTTTTTKAGAAATTTCAAAAATAAATAAATCATCAAAAAAAATTGGATTACTATTGAAAATAAAATTATAAAAAATACCATAAATTAAATTTATTTTATTGTATTTTTTCTCATCAAATAATCACATTTTATCGTAAATCCTTTTTAAGATATATTTCGGTCCAATTATTGCTATTTGTTTTATTACAGTTTATATATACAGTATATATATATAGTATATATTGWATTGATTTTTTTATATATATTGGTATACCTATAATGTTTTGAAATAAGTTTTATATATATTTTGATAATTGGTTTGACGTTTGTATTATTTTTCTCTCAAAAAAAATCTATATATWTATATTATTATATACTGTTTTTTTAAACATATTATTATTATTATTTGTTGTTGATAATGCACTCAAAAAAAAAAMAAATAATAATAAAAATATTTCAATAATATTATTGATAATTTTTTTATATTTCACAATTTWTATATATATATATATATATATAATTATTTTGTTTACAACAGTGATATATTATATATTWGATAATTTGAATATTTTTTATAATTAATATATCAATAAAACTATATATATATTATTAGTTAATAAAAACTTTTTTTTCTCAATAATACTGTATATAATTATAATAATWATTATTATTTGGATAATAAGTTCAATAATATTATCTCTAAAAAAAATTATAACAACAGTTATTTATAATATATATATATATATCTTATAATATATAAAGTACTGTATTAACARACACACACTTATTATGGTCATTGATTACGGGTTACGTAACCATTTGAACACAGATCCCGGTTTGTTGTGTTGGTGTTGTTGTCACTACTATTGCTAACAAATGGATTAMGTTTGGTTGGCGCCGGTGTCGGCGGCGGCTGACCTCCGRCTGATCCCCCGTCACCCCAGGGATCCTCTTCTTCCATTGTATAGGACTTATGYTGYTGTTGTTGTTGATGGTATTGGTGTGGGTGTGCACTGGTATTAGTCAACTGTTGGTGCTGTAGTTGTTGTTGTTGTTGTTGRTATATACTGTCGGCACCACCGATATTCTGGTTACTAATGGCATTGGTCTGYTGGCCTAACGGCTGCTGCTGTCGRCTGTTATTGTCGTGACCCGACGGAAACAGTCGTTTGTTTGTTGCCGTCGGCTGTTCGGTCATCGAAATGTTTTCGCCTTCAAACGGCTTATAATCGTAGATATGCCTCAACATTGACAGCACTGGTACATAGCTAAGGTTGGTTATGGCTATACAGATGTTCAAGGCTAGAAAACCAATGGTTTCGACAACAGTGCCGGCAATTATCGGTCCGACAGCGTAGGCCAGGGAATAGGATATGTCGGCAATGGCATAGATAGAGCCGTAAACTGAGACATAGCGTACGTCGACCAGATAGCCGAGTGTCGGTAGCAATGAAGTATCGACCAGTGCTATGCCGAAACAGATGCCCGATATCGGTAATATGAGAAACCAAAACGATTCGGCAAACGGTATGAAAAAACTGCACACACCCTCCAGGGCTAGACCGACGGCCGCTATTTTCCACTGGTATTTCGGATATTTCTCGACCAATTTGATGGTCGTATAGACGCCGAGTACGTGCGGGAAAAAAGCCGGTAACCATATCAGACCCATTTGCCATTCTTCGATGTCGGTCATTGTGTTTTCCATCCACAACGATATGGTTGGTTCGAGAAAAGCGAGGGAAACGTTGGCCATAATCAGTGCGCCGGCACAGCAAGCAATATGCGGATCCATTAGCAACTGATAGATAGGTGTACCGCCTGTTGGCCGCTGGACACCACTGTCCTTAATCTGTTGCTTAACGGGTCGCATAACAAACTTCAAGAGTACGGCATCGACCAGACAGACCAGCGACAGTATGATGAACGGCACTTCTTTGCCGGCTATCTGATAGAGAATGCCGCCAAACGGCGGGGCAACCAGACTGCCGAACGATATGAATGCCAGTGCAATACCCAGAGCCCGCTGACGTTCCTGATCTTCGGTAAACCGGTCGGCAATCATGGCCAGACCGGCAGTATCGGCAAATGCCGATCCGACACCCTGGAGACTGCGGGCAAAAAACAATAGTCCATAGCTTTGGCCGCAGGCGAACAGTGCAGTTGAGAAAAACATAACAGTCAGCCCAATCATCATCGGTATGTCGTAACCGATACGGTCGATGATATGGCCGCTAAACGGATTGATAAACAACTGTACCAATGCTTTCGATGCAAACAGCATACCGACGGCYGAATCTTCGCCCTCGTAAACGGTAATACCGCCCACACGGAAGGGTACGTATTTGTTGGACACATTACGGTACTCGATTTCGGCATCCTCCAGATGTGTAGTCCAGGCTCCTATGGCCCGCAAATAGTCGGGTATTATGGGCACAATTACCATATACAACATATTGTCCAACAGTAGGGCTACACATACTATGAATAATATGATACGGCGTTGACTTCGAGGTTCTTCTACTTTCTGGTTGATCCGTTCCCATAGGACGGACGTGTCTTCGTTAAGTACGGGTATTATTGCCATAATTTTTGTTGTTTTCACACACAAAACAAAAACTAATTTATAGTTTTATTAGTATTATTATTACGTTATATTTTTTTGGGGTGACTTTGGTGTCGGTATGTATATTAAATGGATGTCTCATATATTATAGTCTTCATCATTATTATCATAATCATCCTCTTGAGTAGTGTGTGTGTGTGTGTGATGTTGGATGTGTATGTGTATGAGCTTAATATGGACAGTGTATTAACAACATTGAGATATCATCACCTGATGAGAGGGTAGATCCTGTCGCCTGTCCTGTTTGAGAGCGCATAGAGAGAGAGAGAGAGAGAGAGAGAGGGATAACAATAAAAAAATATTTAAATAAATAACTTATTTTGTTTAAACTTATCTATTAGTATTAAAAAAAATTATATTTTTGTTTTTATTGTTATATTTAACACAAAAAATTAATTACATTAATTAATTATATATTTTTTTAATTAATTAATTATAACCAAGCTAATCATATACTGTATATATTTAGATATTTAATTTAAATAAATTTTTTTACTATTTTGTTGTTGGTAACTAATTTGTGTATCATATAGTATTCAAAAAAAAAATAAATAAATATTTTTATTAAATATAATTTAATTATAGAAAATAATTAATTAATTGAATTTATTTATGTGTTAAATAAATTATTATTTTTATATATATATAATAAATATAATATTATATAATGTTTTTTTTTTGAGGAGCGCTTCATCATCACAGGCGACAGTTTCGCGCAAACACTTTCTCAGGCAATGATTTTACATTAAAATTATTATTTATTTTTTTTTAATTTTATATATATATATAAGTAATAGTTTGTATGCAAAATAAATTGACAATAAATTTTTTAGTGGAAAAAAAACTTTTTTTTTTATTTTCGCTAAAATTAAAATATCTATTACTACATCAAAAAAATAAAATTAAATAAATAATTTACAGTATAAATGTCAAACATTATGCAATTACAGTACATATACAGTATATAACACATATATATATGTTATTTCTTATTAAATATTTTTTGTTATGTAGATTATCTATTTTAGTAATTTTTATAATAATAATAATACTAATAAAACCTTTTAAATATACAAAAACGAGTGCATTATTCAACTCAATTGTTAGTATAATTTCTTTTAGAGAGAGAGAGAGAGAGAGAGAGAGAGAGAGAGAGAGAAAGAGAGAGAGAGTTATTTCAATGTAGTCTTTGTTAGATTAGAGACGAGATGTGAAAAAAACAGTAGAAATTTGATCACAAAAATGTGTTTTTGCTTTTGCTATACATTTAGTTTCGTGAGATATATACTGTATATGTATGTACTGAATGTATGTATGTGTGTGTATGTATGTGTGTATATGTGTGTATAGTATATGGTCTGAACGTGACAAGCAATTCAGTGATGAACATCACCTAAATTATGAGTGAAGTGCTCCCAATATACTCCTTTGACTACCCGTTCCCTCTACACTACTATACACTACCACCCAATCCATCCATCCATCTACTCATACATGTATTTATTCCTCTCTAACGTTTGCCATTTCAGATCAATTGCACACAAATTATTTACTACTACTACTACTACTACTATTGATATTCACGTATTCACCCCCACTATCTCCCCCCTCTCCCCTCTAATCAATCCGTTAAAAATACAGTACAAATATTGTAATATTTCTACATTTATCTCAACGACTGGTTATATACACTGTATATTCTGTACTATAAGAATCTCTCTCTCTCTCTCTCTCTCTCTCTCTCTCTCTCTCTCTTATTTGATTCTCTAAATGAGTAACTCGTGGGTATCGACACAGACATTGAATTTAGTTTTATATATACTATACTATACTATACTGTATGTATCAGTAGTTAATCAGTAAAGATTTTCGCTGAAACATACTGTACATTCAGGAGACTAATTATTTTTAATACTACTTTTTGATACTATAATATGGCTATACATTTTGAGCACAAGTAGAGGTCATATATATATATACAGTATATATACATTACTACAGTGTATAGCCATCGGTAACGATTCATAACACGATTCTCTACTATTATTCAATACAACTAACCGATAGATACTCTCCTTTTTTTTCTCTCTATAATAATAATAATCTTTAGCTCTATTATTCACTTTCGTTTTAGATCCCAATGGGACTCAAAATGCCTAATATATATAGATATAAAACACTAGAAGACCAACAAAACAGAGAGAGAGAGAGAGAGAGAGAGAGAGAGAGAGAGAGCACTGGTAGGAAAAGTTTCTGCTGAATATACAGTACTGAAGTTATATAATAATAATACTAATACTAATAACAAAAGTGGGGAAAGTTAGGGCAAATACATATACATGTAGTTTTAGTACGTGTAGTGACCGGACGCCAAATTGAATTGAGCACCGCATCCACCACTACTACTACCACTACCACTACTACTACTACTACTACTACTACTACTACTACTACTACTACTACTACTACTACTACTACTACTACTACTACTACTACTACTACTACTACTACTACTACTACTACTACTACTACTACTATATCTATTAACTACCATTCCTTCATCATATACTTTCTGTATTTACTGTTACATTAATGTTTTTTTTAAAAAAAAATATTGTTGTCTTTTTTATTTATTAACTCTATGTGTTGTAACCCATATTTGTTTTATTCATCACTTATTTTGTGTGTTTTGATCCCTCATCTCTCTCTCTCTCTCTCTCTCTCTCTCTCTCTCTCTCTCTCTCTCTCTCTCTCTCTCTTTATATATATATATCGTATAAACAGTTAGTGAATCATATCTTTAAACTACTTATAACTACTACTACTACTACTAACTAACTATTGAATAAACATTTGGCCAAACAAATTGATTATATAATATTTTATTATTGTATTTGTAAATACAGTATAAATATATATATATATATATATATATTATGCAACTATGAAGCTGAACAACTATTAAATAAGTTTTTTTTCATATAAATATTACTGTATATTATTATTATTATTATTACTTTTACGTGATTTTTGATAACTTTTATAACAAAACTTTTTTTTAAAAAAAGAAGATAATTATGAAATACGGAATATTCTGTATACAGAGTATATTATAGTCATATACACTGTATATAAATAAAATAAGTTTTTTTTAATAATAATAATGTTAATAAATTATTATAAAGAAAATAGACATTAAATTCATACAAGAAAAAGTTTATATATACTGTATATCATATATACAATATATACTGTATATAAAGTAACAATAAATCATTAAAATTTTAAAATTAAAAAAATCATTTTTTTGTTAGTTTTATTAAATATTAATAACTTGTCTTATATTATTTGTATACAACACGTAATGGGATAAAAATGAAAAGCAATTGAAAAGTTATATATATATATATATATATATATATATATAATGTCTAAAAGTAAGACTTTTTATATATGTTTTAATTCACTTAAATGCTTAAAACATTTCACAAATATATATATATATATATATATACAGTTTTGTACCGATATTTTTCAGGACGTGATTAGACTTTACAAAAATGTACTGAATTTTCCTGAAATAAAAGTCTCCTTCAAAAACAAAAGTGGGGTCCAAACTACTATATATATATATACAGTATATATAAATATATATATTTATACGTGATTTGCAGTATTAAACTATTGCTAGACTAACTGTTTTATATCATCTAATCATATATACAGTATATATAAGATTATATAACAGTATTTTAAACAATAAATATTGTATATAAATTGTAGTTGAAAAAAATATATAAATTTTATTTTCTCAAAATTTTTCCAACAAAATAAATAAATAAAATAAAATAAAACTATTCTCAATCACATTATTAAACAAAACAAAAAATTAATTTTAAAAGTCAATAATTTTTTTTATTGATTGAATAGTGTTTCTCTTAACTTATAATACTTTTTATCAATTAATTGATTATTATTATTATAGTTAGCATTCATTAAAAATCTTATATAAATTATATATATATAAATATTTATCGTAAGTTTTATAGATAATCAAAACACACACACATATTAATATAGATATATATATATATATATATATATATATAGTATAAATAAACAGATAAACAGATTGATATGCTATTATATAATAGATAAATATTGACAACGGCTTACCTGCGGATCAACTTTAAGACTAATCCTTCAATTAATGATAGATAAGAGAGAAAGAGAGAGAGATGAAAGAGATATTGGATGCGATGATCACAAATTGGTCTCCACTTTATATATCATATATATAAATACATATATATATATACACAATATATGTATATATATATACGAAAGTGTCGATTATATCATCACTTATTATTATTATTATTTAGTGGACAGACATACAGACAGACAAACAGGCAGACAGACACTACTTGAAAATAAAAAACTCCAAACTTTTTGTTATTGTTGTTGTTATTTCAGGTCATCATCGGATATGTGTGAGAATAATAGCATACAATATAACACAGGCATAACAGTTGCCGATTGAGTTTTTTGAGGAGGAAAGGCCAGGGAGGGAGAGAGGGAGGGATGGATCACCAGTTGTCGGCGCGTGCGATGATGCCTAAGATATATATGGCACCAGCAAAACATCTTAAGAGAGAGAGAGAGAGAGAGAGAGAGAGAGAGTCTTATGTGTTTGTTGTGCGCAAAACAATCTCTCTCTCTCTCTCTCTCTCTCTCTCTCTCTCTCTCTCTCTCTCTCTCTCTCTCTCTCTCTCTCTCTCTCTCTCTCTCTCTCTCTCTCTCTTAGCAAAAGGAGTCCAATCGGTGCCATAAAACTCTTGAGCGTCACTCCTCTTGTCGACCAATAAATGCATTTTCGCAAATGTCTGCAAATGATTGCCACAAACACTATAGGAATATATATATATATATATTTGRAAGATAATAATATACAGTAAAAATCTATTGTTTTCCCCAAATGCTCTCCTCATTGCTATATATATATATATATATATATATATMTMTATMTMTCTCTCTCTCWCYCTCTCTCTCTCTYTATCTTTCAATTCACTCCCTCTTCATATCCAACGCTATGTTCTAAACGCTATATACAAACTAAATGCAAAATATAAGCCTAAAATAATGATGGGATCAAAGCAGGTGTTTCATTGCTTTCTCTCTCTCTCTCTCTCTCTCTCTCTCTCTCTCTCTTTCTCACTCACTCACTCACTCACTCACTCACTCATTCATTCATTCATTTCATTACTCACCCACTCTCTCTCTCTCTCTCTCTCTCTCTCTCTCTCTCTCTCTCTCAACAATATAGATCTCTCTTTTATCAWATTATATATATATATAAATGTTATACTTTTTGGCATTTTTCTCAAAAAAAAACAAACTACACTTTCTTTTTGAATAATATTTTTCATAATAACATAAATACTTAGATAAATATTCACCACTAAAATAAAGTATCGCTAATTAGTACACTTTGATTGCTTAAAGTTTATTTWTTGKTGAAAAATTTATATATAAATATTTATCAGTATTTAWACTGTGTATGTGTTGAAAAATTTGCACCAAAATATATATATATATAACTTTACTAACCAAACAACCAACACATACATACAGTACATGAAAATATTTTTTATTTGATCAAAAAAATTATTTTTAAATTTTAAATTAATAAATTAATAATAATAATAATACCAGTACTGTTAGGTGCATCAAAAAAAAAATCTGCTAATATATACAGTAATATTTATTAGTCAACCAGCTATATGTGTGTATGTGTATAGTATTTATTGATGTATATATATATKGTATATATATATATATATATTCTGTATATATATATATATATATATATATATATTACCACCAATTTGTAAGACCTGATAGACATCTGGCAGTGGCTCAGAGGCAATGAATAATTAAAGAGACGAGAGTTTTAGTTGAATGTTCCGCAGAGACATATTATTTATGTATGACTACTATAGTCTAGATAGAGAGCACAGTTAGTCTTATTTTTAGGCCCTAAAACATAACATAACCTAAACTTAACATATACAGTACATACTGTATATATAAATTTATATATCTCTATATATATTTGTGGAGCAATTGTAGAAAATTAAAGCCAATTCTCCCCCGACATTGCCTTTTATTTTCCTATATATATATATATATATACTATCTTTTAGTTTAGTTTCTAATAATAGCCAATAATCTAATGGTCGCCCATTTATAGCACCATTTATTAGCTATAATTTTAAAGGTTTACTTATTTTTTTATCTCTCTCTCTCTCTCTCTCTCTCTCTCTCTCTATAGTGTGTCACATATATATATATGGTATATATATATATATCTATTATATATAAAGTAATTACTAACTATTACTACATATATACTGTATACTAGATTATATCAAATATTTATTTGTAGTAATTTTCTAAATAATTCTTTTTAAAAAAATAAATAAATCAATTATAATGACAATGATATTAATGAGTTAATGAATAATATATTTTAAAATCTTTAGTAGTAGTAGTAGTAGTAGTAATGTTTATYTTTCAATGAATATGATTAAGTTGTTTTAATTTAATAGATTTTGATTTGTGTGTAAATATATTATAAATAATATTAAATATATAGAAAATAATTTTTTGATTTTATTATTYAATTGTTTTTAATAAAAATATTTTATTTRTTTGTAAATCTCAGTGTATATATTGATATATATATATATATAGTATTTATGACTTTTATTAGACTTATAATTGATTATTATATTTTGATTGATTATTATTAGTATTATTAATATAATATTAATAACTAMTACTTATTGCATATAAAGCTTATCTCCCATAGAAAAAGTTGTCTTAAAATTAAAATATTATTATTATTAATAGTAATTAATTAATGTTAAAAATATTTTAATTATACATTTATATATGAATTATTTATCAAAAAAACAACAAAAATATTTTTTTAAAATATAAATATTGTTAATTATAGAAAAATATCACTAATTACTAAAACACATAAAAATTTAATAAAAATATATTAAATTAAGTAAATTGCTGTAAAATTTATAACATATATAAAAAATATGATTTTTAAAATAATCAATATAAATAAAAAAGGTAACTTAAATTTTTACTAATTTGATTTTTTAGATATATGATAAAATTATTATTTATAAAATTATTATTAAATTATTGATAAATCTAAATAATTAATTTKTATTAGTTTTTAAATAAAAATTCAAAATTTGATAATTAATTAATTAAAAAATATTAATTATTTATTGAGTGTCTCAAATAAATTAGTGTCAAATTAATTAGAAATTAAAATAATCRTTAATAGCATTTAWTTAAAAATATATAATAAATCTATTAAATAAAATTRATTGATTGAAGTTATAATAAACCAATTAATTAAAATTTTTAAAAATAAATGTTAAATCAAAAATAAATTTTAATTAAATTGTTTTTTGTGTAATACATTATTTTTACTTAACGTGTTAAAAAAAATCAAAAAAATATATTATTTTTGATATWTTGATAAATTATTTTTATTTTAAAAAAWAAATAAATTTTAGCTTGATAATTATTCAAATTTACTAAATATTCTGTAGTAATAATAACTGTACTTTAAATTTATATATATATATTCACATACATACCGGTGCCCTCTATTATTGTTAAAATTCAATTCAAGTATCAATACATTTAGTAAAAGTTAGTTTTTTTTATATTTTTTTATATTTTTACTTAAAAAAAGGAAATGACAGTAATTTTTATTATTATTATTATTAAATTATAGATTATAGGAAATGATAAAATATAATATTATTATTTTGTTGCAAACAAACACATAGTTTTAAGATAAAACTAAAAAATTTCAATTTTATTGTAACGGAAAAACAAAAATATAAAAATATTTAATTTATTAGAAAAAATATTTCTAAAATACATGACAAACTTGAATCCCATTTTTTTTAATCAATCAATCAATCAATCAATCAATCAGATAATTATAATAATATTTATATATCATATATTGAATATATATATAAAAATAAAATCAAATTTTTTTTTATAGCAAATATATAAAACAAACAAAATAAACTATTTTTACGATATTTTAATTA